GTTAACGTACTTAGCCAACTAAACATATATTTCTGTTAGCTAATTTAATTTCATTCCATCAATTTCTTACCTTTTTTCTATTTTCACAGACTGCAAAATATTCTAAATATTTCAAAAATCAAATTAGTAATATCAAATATAATCAATTTTACGCATTGAAATCAGTTTCACATATTTGACATATTTTGCTTCACATCGTTAAAAACACACACTTAAATATGTTTTGTGTATTTGTAAATTGACATTTTCAAATATTTGAAATAGTCAGTTTGACAAATTGAACAATCAGTTTCACATGTTCGAAATGACCTATTACACATATTAAAAAATGTGTTCAATTATTTCATAAAACATTATTCACGCATTACGAAAAATATTTCCACCCATTTGAAAAATCTGGTTTCAATCATTTCAAAATTTGATTTTACCTCTTTCATGAAACATATTTTAGTTATTTCAAAAAACTAATTTCATTCGTTTCAATAATAACAATTTTCATTTATTTTTGAAAGCTAATTTAATTTCAAAATGATTTCAATTATTTCAAAAAATTGATTTCACAAAAGGCATTTCAATTTCAAAACATGCATTTCACAAAACATGTTCGAGTGAAACCCAAATCAAAAAAATAATCTATTTCAACTAAAAAACAGTTTCACATATTGTGATAGGCATCTTAGCGAAAACACTAAATATTGCTTCATGCACTTGACTAAAATAGTTTTATATATGGAAACAATGAATTTCACACATTAGAACAATCAGTTTCACATATTTGAAAAAAAACATTTCACATGATTTTAAAAAGACTCGCATCTTTCATATATTTGGAAAATATTGGTTTCTTATATTTGAAATAATCAATTTCACATATTCAAACTATTGATTTCAATTATTTTAAGTAACTCATTTCAACTATTTCTAAAATTTGCATAGAAATTTGTTTCATACTACCTCCGTTCAAAAATAATTGAAGTTCTCAGTTTGTCATAAGTCAAATTTGTTTAAGTTTGACCAGTTTTTTTTAAATATATCAACATCCAGAACAACAACTTAGTCTTGTGAGATTTTTCATGAAATATATTTTTGTATTATGTTTATGTGTTGTTGTACATGATAGCATATCTTTCTGTAGAGTTCGTTAAACATAAGCAAGTTTGAATTTGGACAAATGTAGAACTTCAATTATTTTGGAACAAATGAAGTATATTTGAAAAGTTTAATATATTTGAATTAATCAATTTCACACTCCAAAACAATCAGATTCCATATTTGAAATTACTCATTTCATTATTTCAAAAGAACCGATTATAGTTATTTCATAAAACTAATTTTACTCATTAAAAAACTGGTTTCAAGTATCTCAAAAACAAATTGTATATCTTTCTAAAATTTCAAATATTTTATATTTATATATCACCTTCTTGCACATAATTTGAAACCATATTTACAAAAGTATTTATACGATCGATGCAATTTAAGCATGTATTATAGACTATATCCAAGACTGCCCTTGCTCTAAAGTTCTTATTGCCAGGATTACAAATATATTGACAATACACAAATAAAATTATAGTTCAAAAGGTATAAACGATTGAAGTTATCATAGAGAAAACAAAAGGAATTGATTTTTTGAGTTAGAGAGGAGAAAGAATGGAATTGTTCTCTCCACGCAGATGTACCTTCTTGGGACCAAGCCTACTTCCTAGGAAAAATTGACAACTGTACACATGTGAAAATTGTCTCTTGTAAAAGTTAGAAAGCCCTCAGGATGTATTGTTATGTGTTCAATCGGGAATATGAATCGCACTTCCACAAGGGGCATGACTGCACTAATTTGAGTATCCATGCAAGCGATGAGTTTTTTCGCTGCGACATACCCAAGCCATTAAAAACCACTTGTGTTTCTTTTGTCCTCGTCAAGATTGTCCTCACTAATTTACCGATGTTTATGCTCTTTTGAAATGCACAAAGGAGTAAGTAAAATACTAGATTATTACATATCAATTAGCTAAGTGAGATATTCTATGTCGAATGAAAGGTCTTGGGGGGGGGGGTCCTAGGATTGAGGATCTTGAAAGTAACAACATG